AGTGCTGAGGATTTAGATGTAGATGAACTTTTGGAAATGGAAGATCCAATATTCGCTTTAACTGCACATTGTAGCGGTCCATCATCTTCAATTAACCCTCTTGCAGCTGATTTACTGATTGAAGCAGTGAGAGCCCAGGAAGAGTTTAATTCTCAAAGGAAGAGTACAGTCCCTCCCTTAATGCGAGAGCTACAATTGGATGACACTGCACTGGAAAATTCTGAGGATGAGCAACAGAGAGAGGTCACCACTTTGTTGCAAGAACCTGTTGAAAATATTAATTTTGACGATGAGCAAGAGGGAGAAGATGACACTTTTTTGCAAGAACCTACACTGCGAACACCAACCCGTCCTGTCAGAAAGAGAAATTGTCTTCCAAAGGTTGCAAAGAGGAAACGCCTCAGAGATCCTAGCAAATGGCTCGATACCATAAGGAAAGAAGCCAAAAATGCCGGACAGGGCTATAAATCAAAAAGAGGTAAACTTGTTGAACCTGTGCAAATGAAAAATCCATGTGCTTGTCCAAAAATGTGCATTAGGAAAATTTCAGATGAACAGAGGTCAAAGATATTTGCTGAATACTATAGCACTAATTCACAACGAGATAAATGGGATTTCATTACAAGACATACGGAATCAAAACCAGTAGTCAGGCGAACAACTGAGGGTGATGCATCAAGACGGAACACAAGTAGAAAATATTTTTTTTTTTATTGGACCCAAAGGTGATGAAGAGAAAGTGTATGTGTGCAAGACAATGTTTATTAATACCCTTTCAGTTAGTCATGGTGTGATAGATAGTGCTTACAAACATCTTAATCAAGGTGAAACAAGACTTGTTTCCCCAGACAAGAGGGGAAGACATGGAAATAAACCCAAAAGAACATCAGAGGCGCAGAAGGCATCTGTAAGAGAGCACATTAATTTGTATCCAAGAGTCCCATCCCATTACTGCAGAGCTCGAAGTCAAAGGGAATATCTTGAGTGGGGTTTGAGTTTGACAAAAATGAGTAAGCATTATCTAGATTGGTGCAAAGACACACATGTCCCAGCTACTGCTATTGCATCAAAAAGGCAGTATATTACAATTTTATGTAAAGAGTTCAACATATCTTTCTTCAAGCCGAAGAAAGATCAATGTGCATTGTGTCGTTTAATCAAGACTTGTAACAGAGAAGAAAGAGAAAACTACAAGGAGAAGTACGTCAAACATTTGAACAACAAAAAACTTGCACGTAAAGAATTGAAAGAAGCCAAGGAGGCTGGAATCAATGACACAACTATTAAAGTGTGTGCATTTGACTTACAGAAAGTCCTACCGCTTCCTAAGTCTGAAGTGTCTGTTTTCTTTTACAAGAACAAATTGTCTCTGTTCAATTTGTCAGTTTTTGACTTAGTACGGAAAGAGGGAGTGTGTCATCTGTGGCATGAGGCTGTAGCCAAAAGAGGTGCCAATGAAATTGGTAGTTGTGTACTTAATTATGTGAAAACAAGTGTTGCAAAGCAGGGATGCAAAACTGTTTACTCATTTTCTGACAGCTGTGCCGGGCAAAATAAAAACAGATTTTTTTTTTTGCATGATGATGATTGCAGCTGCTAAATTTGACATTGATTTTCAGCACTGCTTTTTGGAACCTGGCCACACTCAAAATGAAAACGACTCTATTCATGCTCGAATTGAGTCAGAGGCCAAACTTCAGGAAATATTTGATATGAATGAATGGGTTTCTCTCATAGAATCAGCTAAGCAAAAGAACCCCATGTATGAAGTGAAGGTAATGAAAAGGAAGGACATTTTTGAATTCCACGAAATTGTTGATTCTCTCCAACAATGGCAGAAAGACACAACTGGAAAAAACATTCAATGGAGCAAGGTAAAAATTGTGAGAGCAGAGTCTTCAAGAATGGGAGTTCTACTCTTCAAGTATGATTTTGACAAAGAATTTATGACTCTGAACACACGACAGAGCTTAGTGGGTCGTCCACTTAATTTGAAAACATACAATTTGAGATTAGCATATGACTCAAAACTCCCCTTAAAAAAGAAAAAAATTAAGGATCTGGAGCAGCTGTGTGAATCCCTGGCCATCCCCTCAAAATACCATGACTTTTACCAAAAGATTATGAGTGAAGTAGAAGAGATTGAAGAAGAAGTCCCAGAAGAAGATGAAAATAATGATGGCAACAGTGATGAGGAAATCTTTGAACAAGCGAGAAGAGAAACAGAAAACGCGGAACAGGAAAGTGAAGGAGAGGGTGCAGAAGAAATTGATGATGCATAGATGAGGTTGGCCGTTGTTTAATTTTAAGTAATCTTTTATTTATCTATGTTCTTGTAGCAATAGTAGTGCTGACTAAATTTTTAGCTTTGTATCATTTTTAACCAAAGGTACTTTTAAGAAATGACTGCTATCTGAAGGTCGATATTACTTTTTCCAAGCATTTGTATAATTTCTTAGTTCATGTTGTTTTTTTTAATACTAGATGTATGCTTTAATTCCTCCAGTTAAAAAGTAAGCATGTTAAATGTGTTCATTTCTTTAAGTGTATGGTAGGTACACTGTAATTGACCTAGTCACAGAATGTGATGTGAACTATCAAAGGATTCTCCCTTTATAATAACTTGATATTGGTGTATAACCATTCACTACACTGCAAAGCAGGAGAAGTGTTGATTTTTATTTCTAGAAAAGTTTCATTTTTCTTTCATTTCTAAATGTGTTCATTTGTCACTAATTGTATGCTAGTTACTCTGTTTATTTGAACTAGTCCCTGATCAATGTGATTTTAGCTTTCTAAGGTTTCGTCCATTGATTTATAACTATAAGAGGTTTATAACTACACATGTATTTCACTCTGCAAAGCAGGGGGAAAATGTTTGATTTTAATTAAACACAAATTTTTATTTTTATTTACTTTCTTTTATTTTCTTCTATGACCATCAGAACAGTGAGTAAACAGTTTTCAACATTCAGCATTGAAGATGAGCTCGGAAGTGTGGCGTTCCTTTCTTCATAACAATTCTTCAGTAACACCCTGATCCTGAAATACAATCAAGATGATTTGTTAAAAGGAATCCCTTTCCCAATTAGAATCAAAGCCTACATCATGACTTGACTAAAAATAAAAATAACGTAAGTACGTACTAACACCCACCTGTCCAAACATAATTCAGTATTCGCTGTAACTTCCGTACAGCAGCATGTATTTGACACTAGAGTCCTCGACACCAACTCCACATAAAAACACTAGACTGCAATCTGGAAAAAAACAGAAGGAAGGCAATATTAAATGGTCTCCTACAAAAGATTTGAGTCCTACTTGACTTTTAAAATAATAAGTTAATAATTTCTGGGGAACATATGTTTTGGAATGCTGATAAACTTAATGGCTGAATCAAGTCCACACCATCCATCGAATTTCAATCTTGTTTTCATGAGGATAATGGTTGGAAAGATCCAGAAAGACTACAAAGTCCCATGAGTTTTGACTCTGAAGAACAATACATTTTTAAACAATCGCAAGAAGTGCAATAAGAACCAGAACAAGAGAAAACTATTTTGTGTCAATGAAGTAGCACAAGTATGTCTGTTATATTTTAAGTTGTATACTAACATTTCAACCGAGAAAATGTTCAACCAAATATGGGCGACATCATCAGCTTTTTATAAGCAACATTAATCATAACATTTCTATAAGATCATTCAAAATATAATGTGGCACTATAATAAGGAAAAGTCGTATGAAATTCAAACTCATTCAATATTATGTTGTCAAATCGCAGTGGATGTTGACCCGACAAGGGCAATTAGTCAACTGAACGTACATTTACAGATCATTGAATGTCATTTGATGTCAACATGACATCAAAACGGGCCACTTAAATGACCAAATCTTAACAATGGAATTAAAATGTCATTTTGGCATAATCATTTTCATTGGGAATACTTTTCTGCTATTTTCTGGGATATATGTAAGGTTAGAACGACGGCACTTTGAAATGTTTAGACGATATTTCTCTCCAAGATTGTACTTAGACTGGTTAAAAAGCGAAAAGAAAATATATTCATTCGAAATAAACAAAGAAATGGCTAAGTAGGTCTATCCCTATAGCCAAAACTTACGTTCATAGTATGCACCACTTTGGATTTCGTTCGCTGCCGTCGGACGCAAGTGGTTCTGGAATATGAAACTTAACACGAAGACAAAGTAAACATCGACGAATCGAATGAGCTATGCGTTGTGCATGTCCGAGCTATTCCTGAATTGATACAGGCCCTAGAACCTTTGATTCTGCCTCCTGAGAAATCGCTGGTTTGCAGATAGCAGCTTGTCTGCCACTCTCAAAAAGATAGCCTTTTGTCTGCCACCTTCAAAAAGATAGCCATTTGTCTGCCAGCCCCAAAAAGTTAGCCGTTTGTCTGCAGCACCAAAAAAGATAGCCTCTTGTACGTAGGGAGGGTCGA